ATGTAGAACCTGAAACTAAACTTACATATACTTATGTTCTGGACCTCAAAAACAGATTAGAACAAAGTTGCGAAATGGCTTGAAAAGCGCTGCATAAATCTAGTGACATATATAGACATCACTTTAATAAAACTAAGAAGAATAGACAGTTTCAAGTTAATGATAAGGTTCTTCCCTTATTGCCAGTAGCCCATGACAAGCTACATTTACAATAGCATGGCCCCTTTGACGTGAAGGAACGGGTGGAGGAATGTGACTATAAAATTAACAAAGGTGGGAAATTAAACTTTTTCACGCTAATATGTTAAAGCGGGACGAAGAGAGGGCGCCCTCTGTAACTAAAGATAAGTCTGACACTCCCGGTCTATTCATGAAAGTCAATGTTTATTGATAGTCACCCTTTGGATCATGGGATTGAAGGCCCGGGGGCGAACTTTACTGAATTGATAGATTTTTTACCCAAAATATGTAACCAGTCTATAAAAGATGTGCACGTGTACGAGAACTTAGATCTCTTTCAAAAACAAGATATTTCATGTTTACTTAACACACATCAAATAGTTTTGTTGACGTACCAGAACGTTGTTGAGTACGATGACAAGTTGACTACGTAAGATTGTATGCATTTTGCATAGTTCGTTTTACTACTTCCCAATCTTGAATTTGTTCCAAGCTCAACGAATTGTAAATAGAAAGATATCTCCCGCAGCTAAAATTGCTCCCCCATTCGTTTCCTGCCCACTTGTTTTGGTTCGCATAAATTTCAAAGCGTCTCACATAGGAATCAAGATCTTCCCCCTCGTTACATTCAGGTAAATTAGGGCGTTTTCCATGGACATTATTGCGTCCGTTCCCCTGCAATTCGACTTGTTTATTTATGCGTTCCAAGTCGAAATTATGTTTTTCACGCTCATACCGAATATTCTCTTGTGCTGTAACTTTCGCTAACTCAATCTATTCTCTCGCTCTGGCTTCCTGTTCTCTCGCTCTGGCTTCCTGTTCTCTCGCCTTCGCTTCCACGCCTCTGCGTAAGGCTCTATTTTCACGGTCTTATTTCTTCCACTTATTTACCTCTTCTCTAAAATACCGATTTAGGTCCTCCCCTCATAACCCATAGCCTTCGCTTTATCAGTAAACATGTCAATAGCTTCCAAAGCAGTTTTGGGTTCATGCCAAGTACAGGCGACAGATCTCCCAGGGGACTTAATAGGTTTTATTTCTGAAGTCATAATGGCAACTAAGATATCAACCCAAAGTGGAAATGACCAGAACACGGGATAGAAGGCCCCAAGGGGGGAATGGAAATGGCAAAAAGATTAGACAAGCGGTGACAACTTAATAGTACTTAAAACTAGACAATACAAATTATTTTAAAACAGAACGAAAGTGTAATTCAATAACCTGACGTAATAACGTTTTCAGAAACGGTGTATTACACGTGTTGTACATACGTATGATAAAGTTTTCTTTATAGAAGGGTAGCATGATTTGTGGATATTGTTTCTTTTTAACAATATCCAACCGCTGTCACCAATGTCAAGAGGTATATATATATATTAGTATTCAATCCGAAATAATTCATACAAACGAATGGAAATGCCAAACAGTGATTCGTATGACTTAAACTATATATATCACACTTGTTGTGGGTTCTTTTCACGGGCCATAAAGGCATTGGAAATCATTAAGTTGGTTATCGTTACAAGACGGCAATGATCTCAGGCCAAAACAATTGGACATCTAAGAACCATAGAGAATTTATAAATAAGGGAACGAACACATTCATCATACATGCACAGCACTAAATGGCACCAAATTTGAATTAACTGCAATGTGCGTACGCACACTTTAATACAAAGAACAAAAGTTTGACAATAAATACACAAATAGCTTCACAAAATCGTCTAATTAAATATTAATGCATTGCCTAAATATTTTAGACGGTTCCGATAAACGTAACCGCGGTCGAAATATGAAGGTAAGGCAGAGGGAAACTGAAACCTGGCTGTTTGTGCGTGTAAGGCAGATGTACTTTACTGGACGTAACGATGTCGAACTGAAGCAACAAACGTGACGACAAACTTCAGACGGCTTGGTTTCCAGGGGTGGTTCACGTCATCAGAACGCTGTACAGTGCCATAGCTGACACCAGTACGAACAGAGAGTAAATTCTCAATCCGGAGTTCAATGTTGACGTTATCTGTGTTATACCGTAATTCTGGTGGATCGTCCAACATGCAGCCCAAGGCACGATTTCTTGTTAAATTTATTGGGGAACATATGTAAATCAAGATGACACCCCTTTGTCTACACTGCTCATTTCTAATTGGTCGAAACCAAAAGAATTGTGAGAAACTACCACATCAGGTGCGACAGGAATGTTATGCAAACTGACAGAAATGCAAAACCGAGTTTGTTGACCCGTCTTACCAAACTCATCAAAGTTTATTAACCTCAAATTTATACAGAATGCTGGAATCACCTCGGCCTGAGACATTCATGTTCATACCACAGCAGAATCGCATCTGACGTCATTCTGATTCTCGGGAATCAAGTCTTCGGTTCCATAGTATTTGGAGAAAAATCTCACCCCAGATAAATTCTTTGTCGTCCAATCAGGCTGCTCTCCTTGCGAAGAATGTAACAATTCGTGCATGCAATATATGTATTAAGTATTTCTTTATTTCTCCACCTATAACAAGTCACAAAGTATTCCCCTTTGTATGTAATTTACGTATGCATTTAAAACCTTATAAGCCGGTAAATCCTTTCGTTATTTAAATGCACGATCCACACTCCACCACTTGGATGAGGATATTGCATTTTTGTTAGTTTGTTTAGCCGAAATATGTTGTGAATCTGTTTAGTTGAATTTCGTCCATAGTAGTCGTTATGCTCAAGAGACATAATTCTCGCGTTTAGCATTATAGTATTTAGTTCATCGAAGTTTAATTAGGGAGAGATATATTAAATATTGAAATCGTTACATTATGAGAACTGCATTTATGGTTGATGTTGAGTGTGCATGTGCCTGTGAGACAGTTTAATATACTTTGTATTTCCCCCCAAAAAATAAAAAAAAATGAGATTTTATGCACGGGTATGATATTGGAACAATAGAAAGTATATCTGAATTTGTTAATTTGATTTTCATATAAATTGCTTTTGACTGTAAATCAAAAAAACAATTAAACGATATATGCTAAATTTGTGTGTAGTTCAAATTCTGGTGTTATTATTGAATAGAAAACATTTTTTTTTCATTATATATATTATAGTATTATATGTTATAAATATATTTTCAACTTCTTGTCTATATAGGTTTGTATGATTATTTTTATTATAATAAATAATGTCTACGTCTGCACGGGTTGACGACATTGTTTGGCAAACAGGCTGCCATTAAATTATATTTAAACGTTGCATTGTTAGAGGGCGGAGTTTATGTCAAACTTTTTCAGAATATATAATGTTATATTCCTGCAGTTAAACAAGTAAAAGAACGAGTAAAAGTGGCGACGGGCGTTGCTGGGAGCTTCGAGCGTTTTGACCTTTTAAGTTGCGTAAAGAAAAATAGATGAACCAGAGGCTGCGACACACAGGGGTAGTTGGCAGTCGCCCGCTTAAAAAAAAGTTGGGGTTTGCCACGTTGACACGTTGTGTCAGCAAAATTTGTTTCAAAGGGTCTAGATTTCATTTTGTTAAGGAGGAGTATGCCCACGGACCCCCTAGTAAGGAGATGAGTAAGCAGACCACCCCCCCTAGACTGGCGCAGTC